GTTTTTATCGTTTAGGGTGTTGCCTTAGTTTTTAGTTTTGGGCTTTAGGGTTTGTGTCGTTTTCGCGGCTCAGGGCCCAAAACTTTGTGCTCAAACACGCCCTAGACCCTAAGCCCTGAATCCTAAACCCTAAGCCCGTGCGATCACAACACGCCCTACATCTTAAGTCCAAGACACACACACCCCCTAAGCAAAAGCCAGAGGGTTATTCGATGTTCTTGAGTCGGGGGTGTGAGCTGCAGGCTTGACATCTGAAAGGGTTGGGGGGTTGCTGTTTAGGGTTGAGAGTGGTTTGGGGTGTAGGGTCGAGAATAGCAGGTCCAGACCCTAAACCCAGAACCCCAAACCCCCAAATCCTAAGCCTGGCTGAAGTCCTCTGCATCCAGAGTTTTTTAGAAGCTTTTGGTGGGTGACGGTTTGGGTTTCAGAACACAGGGAAGGTCAATGGAGACACAGGCCCTATGTGCCCCTACAAGCCCTAGACCCGTCTGTTCCCCGAACGGCGGGTGGTTTTGGGGTTTCGAGTTCAAGTCAGCCCTGTGGTTCTGGGATGTGGATTTGAGCGTCGAAGTTTGGCGACAGTTTGGAGGTATGGCCGCTCAAGGGGGGTTTCTGGATCCCTCTAAGGCCCCCAAGACACCCCCAAACCTCCCCAACCACCGAAAACCCCAAAGCCCTAAACCCTAAACCCAAAACCCTAAGCCCGAACCCCTAAACCCTAAACCCTTACCACCAAAACCCCCAAACCCTACGCTCCCAAAGCCGCATCTCTAGGCGCTGGGTGCAAACCCCACTCCTGCTCACGGGCTTCCACCGCGGGGACTTGAAGGACTTGTGTGGGGGTGTCCGATTTCGCCCCAAGAAAGTCTCCACACCGACGTCGTAAACCCTCAGCCCGAAACCCTATAAACACAAAAGCCAACTAGAAGTCCTTCAACCCAAGATACATGAAGCTAAACACTTCCATAAACCTTGTGGATCACTGGGGGCATTGTTCCATATCGTGGGTGCTGTGGGTCAGTTGTAGTTGAGTCCGAAGAGTTTTGGGTAGACGGCGGGTAGGGAAGGTTCTCACGCCAGCTGATGGTTTGCAGACTTGGGGGGGAGGCTTTGCGTCTTCAGCCCGTCGGGAGTTTCCACCCCACATCCTAAATCCAAACCATAAACCCCTGAACCTGAAGTACCCAACACACCCATTCTCTGAACCCTAAACCCTAAACCCTCAACCCCAAACCCTAAACCCGAAAAGTGCTCCCGAGTCACCTCGCCTGAGTCGAAAACAAAGCCATTCAAGTCAGAAACACCTCCGACCCAACGTCGAAAGCAGAAAGGACCTTCCCAGAGCCCCAGAAGTCCCGAAAGCTCATGGTCTCGGATGTGCTAGGGTTTAGGATTTTCGGGCCTTGGGGTTGTAGGGTTGACAGTTGTAGGGTGGAGGGTTTGACACCCCTCAAGAGATACCCTGGAAGTCCTAAACAGCTTATGGTCCCGGTAGGGCTTGGGGTTCAGGATTTTGGGTTTGGGGTATAGTGGTTGGGGTTTGGGGTTTAGGGTTTAGGCTTTAAAACTTTCATCATTTTGGAACTTACGTCATGCGCTCCTGCTTCGCGCATGCAGGGTTCCAGGGCCTATGAGGTTTGGTGTCACAGGGGTAGAAAGGGCTTCGAGGTTCATGACTTCAAGGCTTCGTGGCATGGCTGCTAGGCGTATTCCTGGTTTCAGGATCTTAAAGGCTTCAGGTTTTGAATGGCAAGCTCAATTCCTGTTTCCCGCTGTTTTCTGACTCGCACGGTTTTGTTTTCTGATTCGTGCTGCTTGTTTTCTGACTCGTTTTTTTTGTGTTCAGAAACGGTCCATCCTGTTTTTTGACTCATTTTCACAACTCGCCCGTCCCTGAGGACTTGAGGTTTCATCTCAAACCCTACACCCTTTAACCCCATCAGGGCAGAACCCTTGACCCTAACCCGTAGAGGGTTTAGGGTTAAACAGAGTGTAAACACCAGAGGCCACAAACCAGCTTTTGTTTTCGGGCAGGAACTGGGTGCTGCCGTCCTCGCCACAATCGTCACCCGTCAGGCCACACCACCGGGTGGGATGAAGGGGTTGGGGGGTGGGAGGAGGGGGGGGGGGGGGGGGGGGGGGGGGAATGCCTGATTAGGGTTTCGGGTTTAGGGTGAGTCCTTTTCCTGGGGTGTTCGATTCCTGCAGATATCTTTGGGGGCTGCTGTGTTGATGGTGAGCCTTGTCACCGTAAGAACTCACCAACCTTGCATGGCTGGGGCCCTCGCCACACCTTAAGCCTCAAGCAAGTTCGGTTGGGTTTTTCTTTTGTGTTATGCGCGTGCACCGACATATAAAGCAGTCTGAGATAATATGGTGAAACAGAATACAATCTCATATGTCACGTTGTAACTAGTCTGTACACACCTACAGATATACACATTCTGATGCCGTTTACTGTCTATGGTGTTTGCGATCGCCTGCCGAGGTTGTGTTTGGGCCTTTGAGTTCTGCCCAGGTGGAGTTTGGTCTAAACCCCTCCTCAACTCCTGACCTCAAAAACCCTAAACCCTAAACCCTAAACCCTAAAACCCTAAACCCTAAACCCTAAAACCCTAAACCCATTTAACTTGAACGGGTCTGGGACCTCGGTGGTCGGGGGCAGCTTGCCCTCGGGGCCTTAGGGGTTTAGGCCCCGGCCCCAAAAGCAGCAAAGCCAGACTGGGCCCGAAGGCCTCAAAAGCCCTAGACCTGAAGCCAAGACCGAAACCTTGGGATCCCCAAACATGGGGTTCAGGGTTCAGGGTGCAGAGTTTTAGGGTTTCGGGTTTAGGGTTCAGGGTTTAGGGAAGTTTCGCGTTTCTTGGCCAAACTCTTCTCGCCAGGCTACGACATGCAAGCAGCGAAATCGCACTTTCCGCAGGCTGCTGGGAAAGCTACACGGTCAGTTGCCATGTTAGTATGATAATAGTTATTCTTGTTGTTGTTCTTCTTCCTTACTACTCATCTTCTTATTTGTGCTACGAATCTTATTATTCATATGTTTTCTTATGCTTTTCCTCTTATGAATCTTAATCTTGCTCTTGTTCTGATTCCTTTTTCTTCTTCTTATCATCACCAACAATGTGTTCATTGTCATAGCTTTTTTTACTATTTTATGGTTGTTGTCCTTGCAACTGTTTTTGTTATCGAGATAGTTGCAGTTGTTATCATGCTTATCATTGAGAGTCTCATTGTTGCTTTAGCTGTCGTTTTTTTTGTTGTTGTGGTTGCTTTTGGGGAGGAGGGAAGGAACCCATGTCGCCATGTTAAGCCTTGTCTTCGCTGGAGTTTAGGGCTCGGTGGTTTGGGGGATTGTGGTAAAAGGTCCGCAATTTAGGGTTTAGGGATTTGAGTTCAAGGTCCGGAGCTGTAGGGTTTAGGGATTTAGAGTTTTCGGGTCTGGAGTGCAAGGCAGTGTAAGGGTCTAAGAAAACCCAAAGCCCCAAGACCCCCACATGCGTGGGGCTTTCAGTTCTCCACGTCTCGGCTGCGAAAGGTCTCGGCTTGAGGTTATCTGGTACCCTAACCCCTAAATCACGTGCGACCCATCAGGGTTTAGGGTTTAAGGTTTAGGGTTGAGGGTTTAGGGTTGAGGAGTCCGGAGGGCGCAAGTTAGTTTGCTATCCGTGAGAGCTTGTTTCAGGCCTTGTTCCCTGTCCAAGCAGAACCTACTGGCTATGTACTCCAAGCCCTAAGACCTATAGGCCCTGGAACCTCAATCCAGGATCCTAAACACGAAGCCCTAAGACCTTACGTAAATTTCAAGGAGGAGCTGAGCCTCCCCTTTTGGCTTTACGGCCGAGAGCTTCAAGCCTTAAACCCAAACCCTAAGCCCACAAGCCTTCTTGGGCTCAGATGTCGCGACCCGACAAGATCGGACTCGGCCCGACGGCTCAGAGTTTTAGGTTTTCAGAAACAGGGGTTTACTAGGGTTTAGGGTTAAAGTTTAGGGCTTCAGGCTTAGGGGGTTTAGGGTCTATAGTGGGGTGTGGTTCGGGGGTACACCATATACATACGTATATGTATAAGAAGGATGTTCGAGAATGGTCAGGGCCTTCAAAAATCATCCTCCTTTTGGGGGACCTACCGTGTTCAAATGGCACCCGGCTTTTGGTGGACCCAGCGTGCTCAACTAGCATCCTGCTGTTGGGGAAACCAGCATGTAAACCAGCGTGTTCCACTTGCACCTCGCTTTTGGAGTATCCAGCGTGTTCAACTAGCACCCTGCTCTTGCGGAAGTCAGCGTGTTCAAATGGCACCTTGCTTTTGCGGAAACCAGTGTGTTCGACTAGCACCCTGCTTTTGCGGAAAACTCCCCCCTCAACTCCTTCGGCTACTAAACCCGAGGCGGAGTGTTCCCTGGATATTGCTCCCTTTTCGGGTTCCTTGGGCTCCTTCTTGTAGCCAGAAGTTCAAGAGAGACCATGATTTTGGGAGCTGCGCAAGAGAGAACTGCCCAGGTGGAAGATTTGGGAATTGGGGTTAGAGGGAAGTGTTGGCATCATCCGGACCAACCTCTTGTAGCCCATGGCCACCTATCTGATTTGTGCGCAATCCCTCCCTCAATGACTACTCGAGATAAGGCAAGGGCTGCGTCTGGGGTAGCACGATGTATTGTTCACTTTGTTGTTGTTGACTCTTGCGGGAGCCGCGAGCAGCTCAACAGCGAGCATGACGAGTGTTCCACGTGTTTTTTAAAGGTGGGGGATCTTGTTGCAATGGCTGTTCTTTAACACCGTCACTTCGGTCTCCCCTCAAGCACGTTTCGTGGCTCAGTTACAGGGGCTCGCGGGCTTGCTCATGTCGTGATTCTGGAGTTTTTTAAAGCAAGAGGCTCTCAATGCATCAACTTGGGGGTGGAATTCCTCGTTGGGTTGAAGAGACTTTGGACTTAGGCTTTGAATATAGGGTTTCCGCTTTTGGGGTTTTATTAGGGGTTTCTGCTGAGAGGGGACGGCATGATGTCGTGGTTTTCCGGCATCACCGGGCTCGGCCTTCATCGCACAGACTTGGGAGGCCCTGGCACTGGCCCTCCGGCCATCCCTCGAGGAAGTGATTTCAGATACCCCCGCAAGGGACGGCGAAGGGTCAGAGGCGTGACCAGGAGCTCTAGGAGAGGGTGGAAGCAGACGTCGATGTCACTGCTAGACCTACTGAGCCCTGCCGCATCCCTTGCCGCGGGTTATGGGCACACCTGTGCGGTCAAGGCCGACCGCCAGCTCATCGCCTTTGGACTCTGGGATGCCAGTGTGCCAGAAGGCTTGGGGCCAGTTCTGGCCGTTTCCGTGGGGCGATTCCATGCGTGTGCGGTGAGGGCCGATGGTGAGCTGGAGTGTTTTGGCAAGAACGAGGCTGGTCAGTGCGATGTACCACTAGACTTGGGTCCAGTTCTTGCGGTCTCGGCTGGCCTTGCTCACACCTGTGCGGTGAGGATGGATGGACGGCTGGTGTGCTTCGGTCGCAACCTCGCAGGGGAATCTGAGGTGCCAATGGACTTGGGACCAGTTACGGCTGTTTCCGTCGGGACCTGTCACACCTGCGCCGTAAGAAGGGACGGTCAGCTGGTTTGCTTCGGAAGAATCGAGGGTCGCTGCGAGGTGCCGGCGGACCTAGGGCCTGTTCTGGCAGTCTCCGTGGGCCTTGGCCCTGTTGGCCACACCTGCGCAGTGAAAACCGACGGTCAGCTGGTCTGTTTCGGAAAAACCGATGACGGATACAGCCGATACGATCCATGTGACGTGCCGCCGGACTTGGGGCCAGTTTTCACAGTGTCTGTGGGCTACCACCACACCTGTGCCGTGAGGACTGATGGTCAGCTGGTATGTTTTGGAAAGCGCAATGACGGTCAGTGCAACGTACCTGCGGACCTGGGACCTGTTCTGGCAGTTTCCGCAGGGCGTTGCCACACCTGTGCTGTGACGGCGGACGGTCGGCGGGTCTGCTTCGGATGCAACTTTCATGGTCAATGTGACGTGCCAGCAGACTTGGACCAGCCGGATGCGTGAAAAGACCGTCAGCAAATACATCCCTACTGCTCGCCGAATGCATGGCACGATCAAAGTACAGAGTTTCAATCCATGGAGTCCCTGGGTTCCCCTTATTGGTACTTTAAAAGAGAATGAAGGAAACATAGGGTTACAAGAATGAAAACCCCAGAGCCCACATGTTTGCTAGACCTCACTTCTTTCAGTCCCTGATTTTTGAGCTTGTCCGGCTTTTTTGCAGCATAGGACGCTCGGTTTGTGGGCACATATTTACGGATACCTGCTAGTTGATGAGGATTGTAGATGTTTCGGGATACAGGAGAGGTTACCTAAAACCCTCAGCCTGTTTTGTGCTCCAGGGTTTAGGCATTGACTCTCTGGAACAGAGTATCCCGAAACCCTATGCACCACATCCCATGCCGAACAGAGCCTGAATGGTGTGGCGATCCATGATTTCGTCGCCCAAACCCCAACCTTCACAAAAATACATTTATAGCCCTGAATCCTAAATCCAAGCACCCAAAGCCCTGAACTTCAAACTCGGCTTGCCGAACTAATCCGAGGCCGGATGTTGAATTCGCACCTCTAGACCCAGCAGCTCTACTCGCTAGGTCCAGGGTTTAGCTGTAGGGCCTTGCCTGCCTTCTCACCGGCTCCCGCCCGAAACCTGATAAACCCCAATTCCTAAACCCGAACCCCCTCCCAACCCTAAACCCTCAACCCTAAACCCTACACCCTAAACCCTAAACCCTAAACCCTACACCCTAAACCCTAAACCCTAACCCCTACAAAAACAACAACCCACAGGAAGACCGAGTGGCCGCTGCGGAGCCGCTTGAGTGGGCGCGCAGCATGGGCTGCATTGGGTCCGGGAGCTTCGGGGAGTTTAGGGTTTCAGGTTTAGGGTTTAAGGTTTAGGGTTTAGGGTTTAAGCTGTGGGGTTCATAGGCCGGGTTTGCTTACTGGTTCTTAGTCGGGAATGAGGGAATGAGGAATCTCATATGCCCTGTTTATATCCTTGAAGGGGTTCTATAGAGCACCTCCTTCATTCCCTACTAAGAACCACCAGGCTTGTGGTTTAGCATTGAATTATGGGGCTTGGGAACCAGCTGCATCAACATGAAGTACTGCAAACTTGTTTGCACTGCTGCTCGTGCTGATCGTTGTAGTGATACCAGTTCATAGCAATACTATAGCAATCATAACAGGGCTTGTCGTGTAGGCTGCCCTGAAGGTCTTGACAAAGACGATTTCAGCATGGTCGTTCTGAAGCCGGTTTCCGCAGCCATTCATCCTTCATCATCAGTCTGGGGTGTTTCTGCTGTCTGAAAGTTGTCTTTGTTTCAACGCTTCGCCCGGGCCAAGTCTAAACAATTGGCCCATGGGCAGTGTCGTGCATCTTGCGCATGATAATTGAAAGCTTTGTTCAGACAATGACACGAGGCAACCAGTTGTGAACGCAAGAACCGGTGTGATCGTCATGGCCTATCATGCTTGCCTTCCGCCCTGCCGGCCTCAGCTTGGGGGAGTCAAGCTTGCCTCCACCCACCCTCTCCGGCGGCCTCCGCTTGAGTCAAGCCGACCTCCAGCCTGCTTCTCCCTTACGCCGCACGTCATGTTCTAGTGTCGGCAGCAGGCCTTGCAGTCCGACGGTGGGGGCGGAACTGTTGCAAGCAGAGCGCGGCTGCATCACCTGCATTGCATAGTACTTCTGTCGGTCGAACTTGGATTTGCAAGGAAGAGATTACAGAGATTTTCAGCCGTGTAGACGACGTCGCCCAGTTCGAATTGATCGAAGAGAAGGTCTCCTTGGACCCACATGATGAAGACAATAATTTTATTTACTCATGTTTTCTATCAAGGAGCGGTGGCCGTCTTACCCGTGAGATTGTGGAAAAAGATTTCGTTCTTGTTGGACATGACAAATGTGGCTTATCAGCAGTCCTCGATGTACAAGTGCCTCCGGGAGCAACCTTGTCAGTACAAATGAGCACATGGGTGAACTACTGCCGCAGCGGCTTCGGCGTCCAGGAATCGTCATGCTTCGGGGTTGGAATGGTCCCGTACGGATTTGGCAAGGAACAAGAATGGCGTCGTGGCGGCTTCCAAACCTGCATTGAAGATGGCGTACAGTACCACTGTGACTTCGCTTGGGAAGAGCAGATGTTTGATGACATAGACGGTCCCGGTAGCTTGGCACGACTGGCGGGCTTGCTTGAGCTTGCTCGTCGCTCACCTGACTCCCTGATGCTGTATACTCTGGATGTTGTGCAAGGAGGATCCAGCATTCACCATTCCAAGCAAACAAAGCTGAGCTTGGAGATGATCGACGTAAGACTCCGTCGTGATGCATCCGGGGAAACTGAGCTTAGTTTCGCGCATGGATCAGATGTGTTCAAGGTCAAACGTCCAGCGCAAGATGCACACATGCAGCTTTACTTCAATTGCCTTGGCTGGGCAGACCAAATGACGTACTTTCAGATACACAAGGTAGCCTACGATCCGCCGCTTTGTGACAGGAATGCCTCCGAAAGGGGCAATGACTCAAAGAAGCGAGCAAGTGAGGAGGACTTTCCCGATTATGCCAAAATCTTGAGAGCCGATCCGGAGCTACGCAGGCAAGTTGACGAGTTGATCAAAAACTCAAAGCAACAGTAGATAGCTTGACTTCTCGATGGCACTATAAGGCAGAAAAAGGATCAGGGCTGCGGGGGAGCCTTCAATCGAAGCCTCGAAGCTGATCTCTGTAGACCTTGTCCTTTAGGGTTAAGGGGTTTAGGGTTTAGGGTTTAGGGTTTGGGGTTTAGGGTTTAGGGTTTAGGGTTTAGGGTCTACCCTATTCCTCAGCCCCGAGCCCCACACGCACATTCGCAGGTGATAATCCCGTACGTGTGTTTCCCCGAACATGCTCTATAAACCTTTGGCAAGCCATGTACCTTAAGACTGGAAAGCCGTTCTGCAAAGCACAGCCTTAAACCCGAAGCCCATGAAACCCTAAACCCTAACCCCATGATTCCCCTACTGTAAACCCCAGAACCCCAAATTCTTGTAGACAGACTCCCAGCCAAGGAAAAGTAGCGGTTCTCAGCTTCTGCTGCGCCTTCGCTTTCTACGGCTTCTTGGCTCCCCGGCCACAAGTGGGGACGAAACCCCTCGAACTCAACCTCTAAAGTACCGAGAACCTGAACCCTAAAGCTTAACCTTACAATTCATTGAAGCCTTAAGCCCCAAAACAGCCCTTGACCCTCAGCCCTTGGGGCCTCTCACCCCAAGTAGGGTACAAAATCTTCAACTTTTCTTGTCCGGGGAGGGCTTGACTGGGTAAGGATTTCGTTTCGATGTTCCGGGAGGGGGTGGGGGGGTGGGGGGCTCAGCGGGCTCAGCTGAGCGGCCTCAGCGGGCTTAGCGGCCTCAGGGCCTCATGCGGCCTCAGCAGCCAGAGCGGGCTCAGCGGCCGGGCTTGAGGGCCTGTGCGGGCTCAGCGGGCTTAGTGGCCTGAGAGCATGCTTGGTGGCATGAAGGCCTCAGCGGCCTGAGCGGGCTCAGCGGCCTGAGGGCCTCATGCGCAGCAGCCTGAGCGGGCTCAGCGGCCTCACGCGGCCTCAGCAGCCTGAGCAGGCCTCAGCGGCCCCAGCGGGCTTAGCCGCCTGAGGGCCGCATGCGGCGGGCTCAGCGGTCTCAGCGGCCCCAGCGGGCTCAGCGGCCTGAGCGGCTTCAGCGGGCTCAGCGGCTTCAGCGGGCTCAGCGGCTTCAGGTTGCACGGGGTGTCCTCAAATCAAGGCTTCGAGGAATTCGTCTGTGCACACCCAAACTTTTCAGCGACTATTTGACGTCATCCGCAATGATATCTCAAAAGAAACCTATGTCAAATAGCCCTTATAAGTGTTCGGGTTGGAGGGGGAGCGGGGGGTGGGGGGGGGGGATTCCGGGCTTTGGAAAGGCTTTAGGGTTTCGATGCTTCAGGGTTTGTAGGGTTTTTGTGCTTCAGGGTTTTGGGGTATTGTGCTTTGATAGTTCTAGGGCTGTTTGTTTTCAAGTTGCGGCTAGTTGTTTTTGTTTGGGGCTCCAGTGCTTCAGGGTATTGCCGCTTTGTTGTGTTGGGTTTTGGATGCTTTTGGTTGCTTTTGCTTTTTGCCTTCAGGAATTGAGCATTTTCTGAGGTGTGAGGACTTTTGTCATTTGCTTCTTGGTTTTTAGGGCTTGGGGTTGAACGTTCTTGGGCTTGGGTGCTTAGCTTTTTAGGCCTTCACGGGCGCGCGTAGGTTCCAGAAGACAGCGCTGCCTATTTTCAGCAGCTTGCCAGGGTCTCCAGAATATGTCCTGAAATCGGATTCTAGGCAGTTTCAGAAGCGTACTCGCGGAAAACACCCAAAACCCTAGTCCTAGTGCCCAAACTAAACTGCCAATATTGCGGCCACATTTCAACTTCGCATGGGTTTAGAGTTTCGGGATTTCTTTGCCTCCGAGACATCTCTTCCCCTGAAACGTATCTTCGGGTTTAGCGTTCCAACACGTTAAAAGCCCAAACCCCAAACCCGTAAACAAACCCTAAACTCTAAACCCTAAACCCTAAAAACCCTATCTCCACAAACCCACTTTGAAACCCAAGAGCCTCTCCTCCATTTCCTATCAGGGCAGTGCTTCTGAAGCTGGGGCGCAGATGACCGCTCCAGGTGCCTCCTAGACCCTAGACCCTAAACCCTAAACCCTAAACCCTGAACCCTGAACCCTGAACCCTGAACCCTAAACCTCAAGCCCTGAGTTCGAGCTGCAGTCTTGGGTCAAACCTGAGTTCGAGTTGGCAGCCTGGGGGCCAATATGGATCATGGAAAAGAAAAAGGAAGCTCCCAGCTTAAGAGGGCCAAGAACCACACCCTCACAAGCCTTAGTCGGCTTCAATCTCCCCCCCCCTCTTGGGATCCTGTGAATCGAGCTTCGATGCACTTTCTTGGAGGTGCAAGGGATGGCTACTCGGAAGAGTTTCTAGTTGAGAGAGTAGGGTTGAAGGCTGAAGGTTTAGCGTCTAAGGTTTAGGGCCTAAGTGTTTCGGTTTAGGGTGCAATTAGGGGCTGATGCGAAAGTCTAAACCTGATCGCTCCCGTCCATGCAAACAGGGTTTAGATGGGCTTAGGCTTATGGGTGTAGGGCTTAGGGCAAACAAAGCCAAACCAGGACCTGCTACAGTACGACAGCGCTCCATATATATATATATATATCAAAGCCCTAGGCCATGAGGCTCGTACACAGGGCTTGTCTTTGCTTATGCTTGCCATTGCGCTTGACCTTAGCTCAAGCAACCAAACGGTTCAGGCTGCCGCAGACCTTGGCGTTGGAAGTTCAGGCGTTTTGATTTTTAGCTTTGAGTAAGGTGCAAAAGGTTAAACCCGAAGCCTAAAGCCAAGACCCAAAAAAACTCGGGCCTGCTGGCCCTCACCCCTAAACCCTGAAACCCTTGTGTAAAAAAAGAGCCTTAAACCCTTAAACCCCGAACCCTAAACCTGGACCCCAAACAATAGAGCCCAAACCCTTCAAGCCTTAGACCCTAAAGCCCTGAAGCGCGTTGCAGGTGTGACGCCCGACCTTAGTACGGTGTGGGAGAAGGCAGGCTATGCAGTTTAGGGTAGCAGCTGGGGTAACTCTTACTTCAAGGGCATAGTAGGATCCTGTCAGGGTCTTAGGGCCTTTTAGGGTTTAGGGTGAGTTTGCTTCCTTTTGATGGCGCCCATGACGATTACGGAAGGGGGGGCTTATGGGCTTTTGCGTAGGGAACCCCGACCCCCGCCCCCCCCCACTGTCTGTCGGCGGCGGTTTGGGTCGGGATTAGGGTTTTTTGGGTTCGGACACCCAGCATCATCTATGTGTGTCCCACCTCCCTGCCCACCGCTCTTACACCCTGACAGCCTATACCCGAAGAACGCTACGCCTAAAACCCTTAAACTTAAGGCCGAGGTCCATGAGCGGCTCTGAAGATATCTAGAAGGAGCCCCCACAAAAGTCGACAAGCCTAAAGCCTAAATGGGTTCACGTATTCTTGGGTTTGAGGGTTCAGGGTGGGATGTAAAGGATTTTTTCATTTTCTCGGGTTCAGGCTTTCATGGTTGGCGGCTCCCTCTTATCTCGGAAGGGCTTCTATGATTCTTAGGGTTTTGCTGGCTCAGGCCTTGGTTGAGGTTTCCAAGCGAGATCCACTTATAGGAGCTTTCCTCCTGAAGTTCCTTACAGACAGGGCCCCCGACGACAGGGACCTTACACACCAAAACCCCCAATTCCCGCTCCTTGGCTAGGCAATGAGCAGCGCAGCCAAGGGAGGCTTCACCGCCTAAAAACACAGCCGCGAGTTTTTTGGTTTCGGGTTTCCTCCGAGGTTTAGAAGGCTTAGGGTGACGTCTGAGAACTTCCAGCTCCGCCTAGGCTGAGGGATGTCAACAGTTTAGGATTCAGGTCTCGCCTTCAGTGTCTCAAAACGCAGAGTTGAAGGTGGCGAAGTGGCGCTAAAACCGAAACCCTAAACCCAGAGTAATCGGATCCCTTGAGACATCAGCCGAATTTCAAATGTTCGTACTCCGAGCCTGGAATGTGCGTGCTGAGGTCAGCTGCTTTGAAAGCATCATCCTCATAGTTGACCCGGAAACTTCTGACTTCGATCTAAGTCAAGACGCCATGACGCGCGGAGATCTGACATACAATGCCTTGAAGCCATTGAGGCCTTTTGGGGTTTCGGGGTTATGTGGGGCTTATAGGAGCTTTGGGAGCTCAGGGACTAAGCCCTGAAGCCTTATATCCCAAACCCTCAACCCTCAACGCTGAACCGAAGGTTCAGGGTTTAGGGTTTAGAGTTCGGGGCTTGCACCTTGTCATGGGAGGCGTGGCGGGGCTCGTGGCCGGTGTCTTGCAGGTGCGGCCAAAGAAAGCTGTCCTGCAAGGATTTAGGACTGAGAGGGCTTAATGTTGCATTCTCTGGAGGGGGGCTGAGGTGCCCCAAGCCACCCTAAACCTAAACCTTACAGGCCCTCAGCAGATTTAGGGAGGGTTTTCGAGCGCACCCGGCTGTCTTTGCCCGGCACTTCAGGATTTGCTCAGCCCTTCATGCGTTGGGGGTTTTAGGTTCTCAGGGCGTAGGGTGGTGGAGGGCTTGAGTTTTAGTTTGTTGCTCCTGGGAGTATCCTGCAGTCGCTCTGAACTCTGACCTCTTGAACCCTGAAGCCTTAAACCCCAACTCTCCTGAACCCAGCAATTTCCGGAGGTTGATCGACATGATGGGCCCTGCTTGGTACCCTATACCCATACCTCAGATCAACCCGAAACTTGGCCATTTTTGCCCCTAAGAGGGTTTCGGGGTTTGGAGTCGCCGACTTCTCAACACGCGGGCGCGAGGTCCTTAGCTTCATGTGGCTCCGGACGGCGCGGGCCCCGAAGATCATCTGCCAGAAGTTCGGGCCCCTAAACCCTAAACCCTAAACCCTAAACCCAAACAAGCCGAAGACCCCCAAAAGAAAGCCCAGCAAAACAACGACCTACCCCCTAAGCGGCCCAGGCCATGAATTATCAATATGTCACCGGCGGCAGCGGGGCCCTTGGACGCCAGAGCCAGTGGATTTAAGCTTTTCGGGCCTTTGGTGCATTAGGGTTTTAGGGTAGGAGTTTAGGGTTCCATATGTTTTGGGGTTTGAGGGGTATTTTGGGCAGCCAAAACGCCACTAGTCGACAAGCTTAAACATGGCAAAGGATGAGAACCAAGATCCTAAACCCCCAAACCCAAAAACCCTAAACCCCAAAATCCCTAAACCCTAAACCCCTAAACGCCCCACAACCCTAAACCACTAAAACCCCAAAATCCAAAGTTCGGTTTGGACTCAGGGCCATGCTGTAGGGTTTAGGGCTTAGGGTTTATAGGGCTTGGGGTTCAGGGTTTAGGGCTAAGGGTTTAGGGCCCCCGGGTTTTTCATATTTTGGGGAGGCACCGTGCCCCCCTATCTTGGGAACCGTCCAGATCCCGAGGCTTGAAGACAGCTTTGAGCCAGGGCCTCTGAGAGAGTCCAGGAATGTTCCTTCGCTTTGCCGTGGGGGTTTCGCGCATGTGGGGATAGGGGGGGGGGGTGAGTAGGGTTTGCAGGGTTCAGGGTTTAGGGTTTAGTTGGGGGTTTCGGGTTCAGTTCAGGGCAGGGATTTTCAGACGGGCAAGAGGAGCCATGAGCACGCAGATGCGAGTTGGCGCAGCCTCAAGATTTTGGCAGCTTTGTGGGATGTGGCCATGCACGCAGACCTTGTAGAACCTGACAAGTCCCAGTTTTGAGGTCATCTGTCAAGCAGATAAATCATGAGGGGAACTCTGCCTCAGAGATACTGCCGGGCCAAAGCACCTTAACCCCCCAAACCCTAATATTTAGGGCCTTTTTGCTTACCACTCCGCACCCTCAGCCCAAAAGCCCTTGAGCATTCTCCAAAAGGCTCCTAACCTAACGCGACACCCTATGAAATGGGAAGCTGCGTGGTCCTGGGTGAGGATTCGGTTTGTTAAGGCTTGGTTGTAGGACTTAGGTGTTCAGAGGCTTAGGGCTCGGGTTTGTGGTGTGTATGGGGTGTAGGGGTTTACTAGACCCTAAACCCTAAACCCTAAACCCTAAACCCTAAATGGGTTCCTAAATGGGTTTGCTCAAGCGTCTATGGCCCCATGGCTCTCAAGGGCGACCCGTGCCCCGCAGCATCGCAAAACACAACGCAGAACAGCCGCTGAGCACCCGCCATCTCGGCTAGAGAGATCCTCTGAGGCCTAGAAACCCTAAACCCTAAACCCTAAACCCTACACCCTAAACCCTAAACCCTAAGTCGAACCCCAGGCCCCTGTACCCGAGATCCAAAACCCCGAATCCTCAAAAGTTGGAGCTTGAAGCCCAAACGCCCCCTAAATAGTTTAGAGCTGAAGACGGTTTAGGGGTTTCAGGTGCTTTCGGACCCTAAACCTTAAGCCCGAAACCCACAAAAAACACGGACAAACCCAAAAAAAGGACCCGAAAGCCCCAAATCCCCAAAGCCCTAAACCCCCTACCCTGCCGGATCCGGCCCCCATGTCGGCGGATGCGGCAGAGGCATTCCGGAACCCGAGGCTTGGAGGGTTTTAGAGCCTTTCTGCTGGGGCTCCTTGTTCTTTTTGGGGGGTGGGCTCCAGAGTTTGAGGTTTCGGGTTTTTGGATTGAGGGGGTTGAGGAGGTTGGCGTGCAGGGTGTTGGCTATACATAGGGGTTAGGGATTTAGGTCGAGCTTCAACATCTGAGTCTGAGGCGTCTGTCCACCCTAAACCCGAAACCTTGAAACCTGAACCCAAAGACGTGTTAACTTTGCAGCTTTGGTGTCCAACTGTCTGAGGGCTTTCGTAGATTCAGGGTGGGTTTGGGGATTAGGGGCATGGGCTCTTGGCTACAGTCAGGTCTTTAGGACGTAGGGCTTAGTTTGGAAGGTTCCTCTGAACGCTGGGAGTGGGACTTGGCATCTTGCTCCTTCTGCAGACACAACTTGCTTCCCCTCAAATAAACCTCAAACCATGAAGCCTGAATCCTAAACCTAAACCCCAAGCCTAAACCCTGATTCCTAAACCTGGACCACCAACCCTAACTGAATCCTAAGCCTGAGCCCCAAATCCTCAACCTGGAATCCTAAGCTGAATCCCCAAACCCTAAAGTTTGCTGGGCTTCGATCCACTTTACGGCAGCTTGACATTCAGGTGTGCGTGTTTGTGTCAAGGTTGGGCCCAAAGCACGGCCCGTGAATCCTAACCCGAAACAATTGACGATTGGGAGAGGTCTAATAGAGGATTAAGAAATTAGGTTTAGGGTCTAGTAGGGGCTTCATCTTCAAATCTCTGCCAGAGCTCCCGCCTTCCAAAGCTCTAAATCCTTGACCCACCATCCCTTGCGCAGCCCTACACGGCCCTCACCCAAACACCCACTAAACCCTGAGCCCTTGGGTACCCTAAATATTAGCGGCTGCCTTATCATAGTAGCCTCAAAAAGGAACCCTAATTTAGAGAACCCCCCACATAAACACAACAAAGGTTGCAAGACCTTGTGCACATCGGGACATTCCTGAGTCTTGAGCCCATAGAGACCTTGAACCTACGAGCTTGCAAGAGTTGCATGTTTATTTTACTATTTTTTATTTTATTTTATTTTTTTTTCGAGGGGGGGGGGGGGCCTGAATCCTTTAGATCCTGAAGCAGGGCTCAGCACTCAGGACTTGGGGCTTGGCGTTTAGGTTTACTTGGGGTTCAAGTCCTTTTCATGTGTTGTGGGTGGTGGTTGCTTGTGGTTTCAGCTTTAAAACGGGTCTAGAGACCTCCTCGAGCCATGGGCAGCCGGGAAGCTGCAAGAGAGCTGGTGAGGCCGCCTCTTCTCTTATCTTACAAAGCACCCTCTGGGGAGGTGACGAATTTGGTTTTTGCGGGGGGGGGTGGCTTAGGGCTCAGTAGTTTCTAAATTCTGGGCCTTGTCCCGGGACCTCTCTTCCAGTTTCCAGTTATATATCTATATATATATATGTAAAATATACATCTACTGTATCGCCAAGAGTTCCAGGAAGGGCGACAGAGCAACACCCATGTCCCGGGCTTTTCAGCCCGAATACGGCCCTCAACCCAAAACCGCCCTAAAGCCTGAACTCCCTATAAGCCCCAAAACCCCAAAGCCCAAAGCCTAAGCCCCAAGCCTTAAACCCGAAACCCTAAACCCTCTAACCCCTAAACCCTAACAACCTGTAAAAACGGTCCTTAAGGGAGGCATCCATCCCCCTAAAGCCCACAACCTGTATGCCCTGTATACCCCAAAACCCTAAACCCTAAAGCCCGCCCGGCCAGGCTCGCCTGGCCTTCCATCCTGGCGCTGTTGCTTGACCAGGCAAGCCCCGTGAAGGAGTCAGGGTTTAGGGTTTGGGGTTTGGGGTTTAGGGTTTGGGGTTTAGGGCTTAGGGTTTAGGGTTTGGGGTTTAGGGTTTAGGGTAGAAGCCCGAAGACCAGAATACCCATAGAACCAAGAGCCCCCCCCCCCCAAAAAAAAAAAAAAACCTTCAAAGCTTCAAAAGGGCGGATCAAGAAACCGTCCAATGCCCTCGAAACCTTCATCTCTCAGCTTCGAACTCAGTCCTGCAAGTTGAGGATTTTTGGGCTTTAGGGACTAGGGCGGACACTTCAAGTGTCAACCGCGGACTCATGCTTTAGGGCATGGACCCTGACCGCCCCCATGTGATGAGGTAACTGGGCTCACGACAATGTTTTTCGTGGCGGCGCTGGACGATGAGCACCGCGGCCCTTGTTGAGATATGATTATATTAAGCTGGAGGCGCCCACAAAGCACTGTGGTCTTCAGATCCGCAGCTTGGGTTTGATTTGACTCTTGGCCAGGCGTGAGAGAGGTGTCAAAGATCCTTGCGCTGTGGTCGGCTTACAATCCTCGTCCAAGTCCTTCAACACGTCAAGTTCGCAAGGATGTGCACAGGTTCAACTGACGCACAAGCAGCACAAGCTTTTCGCCTTAGCTAGCTCACTGGTCAAGTCTTCACCTTTTCCCTATCCATGGCCTTACTCGTGTCCCTGTCTACAAGAATCACAGCATTGAGCATTTGGGGCCCCTCAACTAGCAACCCTACCCAAGCTCCAAGACCCCTAGGTCATGCATCCCACCCCAGACTTTAAGCCTTTGATTTGTCATAATCCTAAACCTGGATGCTCAACTTCTCCCCAGCCCTCCAACACATAAAACGCACAGCCCCTGGGATCCGCGAGTCCAGAGGCCCCATCTTTGGAGCAGTTGTTGTCGTAGCCTCGTGGCCAGAGCCTGCAGTCCTTCATGCCGCTGAGGTACCTTCTGGGCTCCGTCGGCTTGGGTGCCATGGCACAGAACGTCTTCGGCTTTAGCTTGGGCATGGGAGCAGCTTGGATATAATTCTTCGCCACGGATGTCCCATGAAGAAAATGCTGCCAACATGCATGTCCTGCATTCCTCCCGGCGTACAAGCCTGGGTTCGAAATGTGTTGGCTCTCCTCTTGGCAATGCGCAGGAGTAGAGTAGCTCACAAGAGTATCAGGAAGAATTTGGGTTTTTCCTCCGCGGGTAAAAGTACTGAATGTGCTGGATTCGCTTCTGAAAACCCCTACAACATGGACTGCTGTCTGGCGGCCGAAAATGCCGGGTTTTAAACACCGGGTTCTCACTGAGCAAAATTGAGGTCCAAAAGAAGGAACATGTACAGGTTTAGGGTTTAGGGTTCAGGGTTTAGGGTTTGGGGTTTACGGTTTAGGGTTTAGACATTGGGGTTTCATTTCAGAAAGATGAGGATCCTCCGATCTCCGACGGAGGCTGAGTAAAGCTCATGAGCTTCCTCTGAGAAATTCGAAGTTTTTGGGGTTTAGGGTTTAGGGTTTAGGGTTTAGGGTTCTTGCGAAGTTGCTCTTCAGTACATTGAAGCACGGTTTCGAATTCCATTTGGCAAGATGAGGAAGTCCTGTGAATCCTGTGCTGTACAAGTGCAGCCCATCAATCACATTGCCCGATCCTGGCTGATGCACTACCAGCTTTCCGGATCAACGTCTCTATGAGATCGGTTTCCCGAAAAGAACATCCGGAGGGATTTCCATTTGAAGACGGATGGGTGAGTTTAGACACTTGGACTGAACGAACTTCAGGATCTGCGCTCGAAAGCCGCGAATTTCTTGACTGGAGTTTCAGGAGTTCAAAAATGCACAACGTCGATTTCATATGAGAGTGTCAAGGAGTCCTTTCAAGGTCGAGAGAACATTTAGGATTTCGCGCCAAAAGCCGAGCACCCCGAGAAAACCACAAAATACTCTTGTTAGTACTACTGTTACTACTGCCCTGTATTTAATGTATTCTCCGTCTGTCTCTCTCTGAGCCCTAAACCCGAAACAGGAGACCCTGAAGCCCTGATTCTGTATCCTCAGCATCCCCGGAACTCTTTCAATTCAGAGATCCCCTTGCTTGCCGAGGCGACTAGGCCCCCCAACGATACCGTATGTTCTCCCCCGGTCGTTTTTTTCTTTCTTTAGTTTATTTGTGTTTTTCCTTTGCGGGCGGGGGGGGTGGGAGGGTTAGGGTTCCCTCAATCTTACACCCTAAATCCCAAACCCTAACCCCTCTCTTGTCCTAGGTGAACAGCGCGTTGTCCACGCTTGTTTCGCAGGGCAGCTGGGCTTCAGCTGATTCTCTCTCAGCCAGGGCTTAGGGTCTCCCAAGCTCAACCCCTAAACCCTAAACCCTAAACCACGCCCCAGGCAAAGGGGCCGGGCGCCTGGACCTTTGCAAGCTTGCGCTGGAGCAGGCCACCCGGCGCCAGGTTGAGGGTTTGGGTTGGGATGTTTTTCCTTAGACTGACAGTCCTTAATGGATATACCAGGGGGTACTTTAATCCCTATTCAGGACTGTTAGTATGAGGCGGAACATCCCAAGGTTGGGGGCTTCTTGGCCTTTGGGTCGCCCAAGCCCTAGACCCCTGAAACCCTAAACCCCTCAAAGCCCCGGGCCCTAAACTCGAACTCTGATAACTTGTGAGCCTTGAGAAGCCCTTGCCCTGCTGCTGTCTTATTAGAGGGTCTAGGGCTTAGGGTGAGTTTCTTTGGGAGTCTTGTTCCCCGTCTTCGTATGAGTGGACAGGAGCCTAAAGCCCACGCTAGCCATACAACAGCAACCCTGAATTTGTAGACATGCAACAACACCCACCACACTAGCCATATTCATCTTTTGAGCACGGACTGGGACGTTGCTGCTGTTCCCCAAAGATCTTGAGGATTTCGGATGGAAATGTCGGGTCTGTAGCGTTTACAGTGCAGTTTCAGGGAGCTGCTCATGGACCAGCCTCAAACCTTTATCAACCCGAAACCCTCGAAGACTGACTGTGCCAAGCCCCCTGCGGGGGCTTATTTCGTTTAAACTTTCGAATGAGCGTTCTGTGTAGTGATATGGGGGTTAGAAGTGTTACTTAGTATTGCTTAGCCCGTCATGTGACTCCCAAACCTGACAGCTGGACCTTCATAACCCTAAAAGGCCCTAAACTCCTCAATCTTGAGATTTTATCCTGTGCCTTGCAGAATGCAAGGCGCAGATTCTGAGCTTGCTGGTAGCCGTGCCGAGCATGCTCCTTTGCGGCGCAGCATCCCCTAAACCCAAGTCCCCCCCTCAACTTGAGGGTTTCAGGGTTTCAGGGTTTTTGGAAGGAGGGGCCCTGGGTCAATACGAAGCATCGGGTTTTTGGGAGGCGCTTGATGCCATCATGGCGCTCGGAGTAGGGTGTTGGGTGGAGGAGACTGAGGAATTCCTGGTTCTGTGACAGAGTAGTTTGGGGAAGAAAGGTGAGGGCTAGGAATGCGCGGGCTCTAGAGCGTTGAGGGTTTCAGATTTCGCGCCGGGGAGTTCAGCGTTTAGGGGTTATAGGGGATCTGGGTTTGTGCGAAGTTCGGGGCGCGTGCGGGCAGGAAAGGCAAGGGGTCGGTGGGGAAGGGGGTGGCCCGCGGATTGTCGACTGCTTTTCTTTGCTTGTGCGTCGTCTGCTGGTGGGAGGGACCATTGAGGCCTTACCCTAAACCCTAAACCCTAAACCCTAAACCCTAAACCCTAAACCCTAAACCCTTGTTTAGGCTCAGCCATCGGAAGTATCTTCTTACAAGCTCGACAAGGGTTCAAGGATGTCCTGGACGCTGAATGGCAGTTCTAGTGCCTTTTTATGGGGAGTGCCCACTTTTTCTTAAACCCTAAACCCTAAACCCTAAACCCTAAACCCTAAACCCTAAACCCTAAACCCTAAACCCTAAACCCTAAACCCTAAACCTAAACCCTAAACCCTAAACCCTAAACCCTAAACCCCCCCCCCCCGCCAGGAAAGGAGCAGTGTTCAAGGCATTTTTCGGATTCAAAGGTCGAAGCTGAATGACAGCTTTGCTTCGAGGTTCCTGATGATGTATGCCGGGGCCTTCTTTGAGGCCCGTGCGAGCGCTCGCACTCTCTGGGACTTGTTTAGGGTGACCGGGTGTACGGGGAGTGTAGGGGGGCTAAGACGAAGTTTAGATGTCAGAGAAGTGCTGGCACCCAGGCTTGCAACGATGGGAAGCAGCCTGCTTCGGAGTTGTAGAGGTGTGACACAGAACCCGAATTCTTCTTTTCAGTTACAACATGTAACATTGTGCATCCATCTGCTGAACTGAAGCCATCCACGACAAGCTTTGAAGATTACTGACTTCTGAAACCTCATACAGACCTTGGGATAGGCACACAGGAAGAATGGCTTAATCATATTCAGCGGTCTTAAGGAGAACTGCTGTATGGGGGCTACGTAACCTACTGGAAACCCCTGAGCTCGAAGCCCCGAACCCTAGCTGTGTAGGCTGTGGGCATCAATCAGCGTTCGGCTCGCGATGCTGGAGAGTATGCTGCCTGACTCGGTCAGGATTGGGTCAAGCCCTCCCCAAACTGTCCAAAATCCATGAACCCCGTCATTTAGAACTGAGATGACAGCCCCTTAATGGGGCTTCCTTCTGGAATTTTTGCCCGGTTTGTGTTTAACCTCAACATATCCTATAGACCTAAACCCTCATCCTCTAAACCTCTGAGTCCTAAACCATAAAGCCCTGAACCCCCAAAACCGGGGGCTTTGGGATTTCAGGTTCAATCCCTAAACCCTCAACCCTAGACTCGAACTACGTAAACCCTAAACTCTATAGACCTTAAACTTTAAGCCCTAAGCCCTAAGCCCTAAACCCTGTACCAAAGAAACCAACCCTAAGCCCAAAGGAGCACTGATTGAAAAGCTCAGATTGGCTTTGCGCTTTAGGGCTCAGGGTTCAGGCCTAAGCCCTGTATAAGTCATGAATGAACCCTCAGCCCTAAAGCCCCCCCCCCCCCGGAAAAAAGAAAAAAATATGAATCGTAAGTTTGGTCGATTTGGTCAAATGAAAAGAGAAAAACATTTAGACAATTACAAAACATGTCAAAATCTACAAAAGTTGCAGATGATGATCACGATATGGCAGTATCTTTATTAGATTCATTTTTTCCAGATAGTAATAATCGTAAAGAAGCTGAGGTGCGGGGGACCATCTTCGTGATGCCCATCCACTTCCTGTCCTGCGCCACCCGCCTCTTCTTGCGGGCACTGAAGCGACTTGACCCCAGGGTAGCGAAACTCAACAGCCTATCGCCTACCCTAAACCCTAAAGGATCCTAAACGCATCCAAACCCTAGACCCTAAGCCCGAACCCTCGTTTTGAAGCCTACAATCCCCTGAATGTCAGTGATACGTCCCATCGTTGGATCCAAAAACATACGCGTGGGTGTATCGTTCGACGACGTATCTTGTAGTCCTGACTAAAAGCCTGGTAATCTTAGGAGGGCCCATCGCAACCCCAATCCTCAAACCACAGCTCATGTTAGGCAACCGTGGGGGTACATACTATTCGTATACCGTACCCTTGAGGAACGGA